AGCCGTGCCACCGGCAGGGGGAAGGCCCCTGCGGACCCGCCCTGCGCTCCCTACCCCTGCCTGAACTCGGCTCCCTGCCGCACGCAGGCACTCAGCTCTACGCCCCAGTCAGTGGAAGCCAGAGATCTGGTTTCTTTCCTTTTTTTTTTTTTTAAGTTATGAATCAAAATATTGTAATGAAAAAACATTCCAAGAGAGTCACTTCAGTTTTATTAGCTAGAGATACTGCAGGTGTTGCCAGCAACAAGTGGAGATGATGAAAACACACCTGAGGAACAAACCAATCTCCCCTGTTTTCTAGAGACCCAAATAAAAGGTATTGCACAAGTCTATGTAGCAGAAAGCCAGCGACTTCTGTAGCACAAACCAGTATTGCTCAGTTCAGAGGGGCTGGCTTTAGACAATGACAGCACAGGGTTTTACAGAGGGTGAAAAGCACAGGCAGTTTTCCTGTAGGGCCTCCAACAACATCTGGATGGGCGATGTTTGAACTGCAAGAGCACCCTGAGTATTTAAGGAACAGATGTTTTAAGCTCGTAGGACAACCAGCTACAAGCTCAGAATTTTCAAAAGCAGCCTGTGGCCATTCATGTCTGATGGACACTGAGTTTCAGTGACAGATATGTAGCTAACTGCTCCAGGCCACCTTCAAAAATCAGTTTATCTCCAAAATTCAGTTTATCTGAGTACAGTTTCCAATGTCAGGTTCATAATATGAAGTTTCCAAAGCCAGGGTAAGTGAAAAGCGATTGCTACACAAGCCTTGCACCTGCCCAGCAGCAGCTGGTGCTGACCCACGTGAGCCACCCACAGCAGAACAGCTTTCCATGGGACACCTCCTGGTTGCATGCACCAACAGTATTACACTCCCAACAACCCCATCCCATGGGAACAACAGGCACATGGCTTGCCAGCAACGTTTTTATGGCTAATACACCCCTGCCTCTCAGAAATGAGCCACACTGTTAAGTAAAATTGCTGGCTGACCCTGTCATGTATTCGTCACACTCTGGGCTTATTGGATAGAGAGTCACTTGCCAATGTGTACGCTAGAATGAAATTTCCATCTCTACTAGGGGTGTTTAAAATAATGCCTGTAGAAGATGACTTTGGTCCATGAAAATACCGTGCACAATAAACCATGTGGTATTTTGGCTGCTTTGTGTGTCTCCATAACCCTGGAAAAAAAAGTCTGAGAAGTTAGTAGTGCGACAGAAAAGCAGCAGCATTTCCAGCAGGGCAGGAGGACAGCTAACTAGTTGTCTCAAATAACTTAAAAGGAGAAACAACCATGCCAAAAAGAAAGAAGAATTTCCACAATGTCATTGCACTTAGTCCATCTGCACCACACCTCTCCTTCATTCACATTGTACACCTGGAGAACATACACTAAATGATTATAATATTAACATGGTATCTAAAAATACTGGAGTCATTCAGCTGAATGCCTCAAGATATCCAGAGCTCTGGTACATTAAAGCATGAAACACAAACATACAAGAGCTAAGCTATGTTTTGACATGCAACTTGTTCTAAATACTTTCAGCAGAAGGTCTAGTTCCATCAACAACTGCCTGTTCACTTCCTGGAAGCTGATGACAAATGTGTCTCAGCAGAGCCAGGTATTTTCCTCTTCACATCACTTAAAGTAAAGCAGAGGTAGTCCCATGACTGGACTGGTCCAAACTCCCTAACACTTCAGATAATCCTTGCTCTTAGGAATTAGAAAAATATATGTATAAAACCCCACCCAGATTAAAGGCTCACAGTTTCTACAATGCTCAGTCAGGTTTTAAATCATTTTGTTTCCACCCTCCCTTTCTAAAGAAATACTTAATCCTTTGACACTGAAGGGACCTGCCACCCAAGACTCCTGAAGCTCTCTGGATCACAACCAAGTCTTGATCCCACAAGGACTTCCAGGGACACTTATCTTTAAAGTAAAAAACTGTCTTACTGTCTTGGATCAAACCACTCCAACCAAATCAGGCCCTTTTGCACGATTCGGGTCACTACAAAGCTCAGGTGACTCAGTGGCACACAAAAAATGGAGTGCACACCCCTCAGTCTGCTGCACGCTTTGATAAACTACCTCCTGTGTGCTGCCTGATTCAGGCCCCTTGCTTTGTGAACGATGCAAACGGTGCCTTCAGAAAGGCAGATACCATCCCCCACCCCCAAGTATCCTATCTAATTAAAATAGCTAAAGCATTGCTATTCTAAGTGTACATTGAATTGGTTTTCATGATAATAGGGAGTTCCAGTATTTAATTAAAACCCCAAGTATATCCACTGTGATCTAGTCAATTAATTTTGGTCTAAAAGCAATAAATACAGAAATGTATGGATTTACTGCTGGCATAGAGATATTTCAGATCCTGTAAATGACTTATCCTGGAATTAAAATGTGAACATGATGTTGTGACTAACCAGAATCTTGTCACCTCGATACTCTTCCTCCATCCTCCTCTCAGCCACTGAAGGACTAAGTAACAGTTCTCAGTTCCTGCCATTTTTACCAACTAATTTTTCACAACAGTAAAATTAAGGAGTTGCACAGATTTCTGTGTCACTTTCACAGTGCAACTAATAGACTAGAATCTCATTTAGACCTATTTCCCATTTCTTACTACTATTTTCACCAGCTGGCCTATCCACAGTTAATAAGAAAATTTAGTTAGTTTCCATTCGTCTTTCAAAACAGATTTTCTCATCATCTAAAAACAGATGCAATCACAATGTCTACCTGTACAAACATAACAATGGGCAGTTAAAAGTCCTGCTTTTTAAAAGCTATTAGTTACGCAGAACGCCAGAGAACTTTATTAACCAATTATCTGATATCAGGATTCTTTAGATCCACATGTCTAAAGATCAAGGGTTTATAGGACTTGTTGAACTGACATTTATTTCAGTTCCATATACTCAACTGAGTCAGAAAGCTTAACTCCTTAGTGGTACTGTTGTTTCACTTCATTTGAATAACAAAACTAATCAGTTGAATGTTAATCTAAAGCAGAGAATATGCAATATCATGGCCACCACTTAAAACCCAAAATTGAGTGACAAAGCATTTCTCCATGCATATGTCAAAAATGCTTAATCAACCTAAATATCAGAAAATAATATGCAATAAAGGAAATCACGTCTGAAAGCCCTTAAAGCTTGGTAACACTGGATATGTTCAACAGCAACTAAGACATAATTGGTTTTATTTTTTCAAGGTCCATCGTTAAGAGACTGATTAATTATACAGTGCAGAAATCAAAATCTCACTGCAACTCACTCAAACCATAGTGTGCACTGCAAAGCATCGCTACGGCAATTCAAATGAAACTGTTAGATACATGTATGTGTAGGAAAATTCAGCAACACCTCAGGCTGGTACTGAGTAGACAGAACCGTGCTGGTAACAAACCCCAAAACCCCAAGTACTCTCACAGGAGTAAGGATAGCCTGTGTATGCAAAACACCAGATGCTTGTGCTGGCAGGCAAATTTCAGGAAAAATGTAAAAACCCAGTGGTCTGTAGCACCTGCCATTTCTGCATCTTCCCGTTGGTTACTCCACGAAAGTTTTAGTTATGTCTGCTTTATCCTCTGTTCCAGTTCATGCTTGTGTTTAATAAGCCGTTCTATTTCTGTTCCTAGAGTTTGAAGGTTTTCCTTTGAGGGGGTAAAAAAAAAAAAAAGGATAGGGTAAGAAACAGAGGGAAAAATGAGTCAATCAGCACAAAATCCACTAAGTTAAAATTACTGTTTATGTCAGCAGGTTGACACTTTCAAGTATCCAGAACAAGTGCAAATGATTAGACAGAGCTGGAGAACACCAAGCTCATTTCAATAAAGAATGCAAAGCTCTTGGCAAGAACTTTTTGCAGTCACTAATATTCTACAGGCTGTCTAGAAAGTGCAGCGCTCAAGGGCAACGATAACGACAGGAAGAGATCTCCAGCTCCTGCAGAACACTGCAGTGGGGCTGGCAGCCAGCACAGCATCTCCCAGCCTGCCACCTTCCCCATGCAGGGACAGGCAAGTTGAGCCCATGTCCCCTCCACATGACTGGGGGAGCATGGGGAGGCCCTTCCCCCCTGAACACACAGAGCCCAGAATTTATTTCAAGAAGCAGCCCATTAGTGCAACACACTGCGAGGGTCCCAAAGCAGAGAGGTTCAGCTGGTGGATCACGTCACGTAACTCTTTGTTGACCCAACACTATCAGCAGCACCAATTCACAACAAGCTGACTGCTGAAAAGCCTCCTCCTTTTGACAGCATACATCTCTCCAAAGGCAGTATCTCAGAACGATAAAACTGTGAGGAAGAATTGTCACAGCTACTCACTTTCAACGTGATATTTTTCAGTAATGTATCTTCTAACACAGCCTGCAGCTTCCTGTTGATCTCTAAGGAGAGTTCCAGCGTGAGCCCACTATCTGCAGGATGAGATGTGTACAGAGATGCCATAATCCCACCCCGTCTACTCAAGTGTACTTTGTTGAAGTCAGAGGCCTCTGATGATAGCGTTCCAGCTTCTTCCCGCAAAATGTAACTCTGAATAATTCTGGGGGGGAAATTAAAAAAAAAAAAAAACACCAACATAAATCACAGCATTACAAGGTAGTGAAAAGTCAGACATTGAAGTAATGTCAGATTCCTGACACAAGAGTAATTTCATTTTCAAGCAGTACTGTATTACTGAAAAGGCACTACAAATCAACTTCTGCAGTTTCTGGGTCAGAGGAAATCCTGCGATACCAGAAGTGTTACAGGAGATGCTGGTAAACTGAGTCACTACAATGTGCAAGGTTTACATATTTAGAATAATTTTAGGAAAATAATATTGCTCCTTATTATTATTTAAAATAAATAATATTTTTAAGTCCAAAAGGGGACTTAAAAAATGCCTCTACTTTTCTTTGCTGAAAGACTCCAGACAGGAAGTCTTGAACTTTCTACAGATTAAACAAAAATTAAAGAATCTCTGTTTGAGGCTTCACAAGCTTCGATCGTGTTCTGTGAAATGGTACCAGATGGGCAGAAATGTGGAGGTCTGCTGAGCAAGGGCTGCACTTGACAGACAACTGCCCTTTCTACAGGAAGGTCTATGCCACCATTTCTTCCCTTCCTAACTGAAGTTCCAGACATCACCCTGTAAAACGAGATTTCCGATGGCTTTTGGCTCAGATACACTGTTTGTTTGATATGCATGCCAGACTACCATCTGGAATTATGCAGATTATCCTTCCCAACAAACACAATCAGCACCCTTTTAAGCACAGGAAGGACTCTTCTGCTAGCCAGTGGCAGCAGTCCACCTCAAATCAGCCACCTAGTGACCATTTTGCTACCACACAACACTTGCACCAGCCTATTCCTCCTGAAAAATTTTAGTAGTAAACAACTCTGCAATTCCTGTAACTGCTGGCGAAAGATAAGGAAGAAAACAACCCAACAACTAATCCTACCTCCAAGATCTACTGTCACCACCATATTTTTATTGTTTTATATATTTCCATTTAGACAATTACTTGTCTTACATAAAATCCAGAATACTTGACTAGTGCACCAGCTCAACACTGAAAAGCTTTATGACCAGAACTCAGAACATACTTCGTTTTTTTCCTGATTTCCTCCACCAGCTGCTTAATGTGATCCTCCATAAACTCCATCTTTTCATTTTTTCGAGCATGTGCCTTCTGTAGCCTCAGTATTCTTTCAACCAAGACAGACTTGTCCACCTCTGGGAAGCTATCCACAGCTACTGCAGATCCAGTGTTCTCCGGCGACCGATCCTCGTTGCTGCTGCGTGCGTTGAGGGACCCTGCCAAAACATCCGTACCTGTAAGCCTCTTTTTGCTCTTATACCTTTTTACAGGTAAAATGTCTTCGCTAGTGCAGTGCATACAGACATTTTCAGTAGCTTAGGAAGTTTTCTTCAGAATGTCACTTTTCCTCCTGTGTTAGTGGGGTTTTATATGAACAGTGAGTGCATGACACCTGCTGAGCCAGCAGTGTAGTCCCCTAGCATGGGAACAGCTCTTTCAGCATAAGTGTGCTTGCTTCAGGAATGCTCATTCCTGCATAAACACTTTCATATTCATTAATTTTACTTTGTGCAAGACTGAGCTGATTGTAAACATATCTGGTTTGGAGTTCACTAATATTACAACACCATGGAATATGCACAGACTGACCACCCCTACGTATCAACACTGCAGCATTGATCACAAACAGCCTGAAGTTTTTCATTTCTTTCCGCTCCCAGTATTTATCACTCTTGTACAGTGAGATTACAGGACACTGACAGAACTAAGCCAACTTAAAACCCAAAGATACTGAGGAAGAAAACAGATTTGTTTTCAATGCTGAAGAGAACCACTTTACTTTTAAGCAGATAGAAAGTAATAATTTCACACAAATACAGCGATTACTCTGAATGTGCTAATTGATTTATCATTTGCAGAGTTGCAACTGCCAATAGTGCAATTAAACAACGCTGGAAGCCACTGCTCATTTCTAGCCTGTGGCAGAATGTAAGAGGGTCCTCTATAAACTGGAGTCCTCTGATCTTCCTCCAAATATAAAAGCAACAAAATAAAAAAGGGAGGCATTTACAAAGAACCAAAATGTATAAATTATATAAGCATTAAACTTTAATCTTGTAATAAGAACAACCACCTACAACTGCACTCAGCCAAGTGCATTTTGGTGCTTAAAGGCTATTTTATCAGGCTGCCCACACACTGCATATGCACAAGCCACAGAAAGAGCAAGGCTCACAGCAGCACACCATGGCAACCTTATTAAGATCGAAGGATTATTTTGGCAGCCCTGCTAGTGTTATATTACCTGATGAACTGGAACGGCTCCCCATGCTGCTGACTTCTTTGTCATAATTACCATTTTCTATCTGATCCAATTTCCTCCGTGCTAAAAGTATAACAAAATAACAGTTACCAACAACAGATTAAAAAGCAAAAGTCATAGTGTCATACATGCACAAAACTCTAATCCTCCCTGACCTGCACTAATTTAACACAGCTTGACAACTGAAAGATAATGGCAGCAACTCAAAAAAAAAAACAAAACCAAAAAACCAAACAGACAACCCTCTCCTCTCCTTGCCCTCAACCATAAAGCACCTGGATGCAACATCCATCATGATCCCCACACCCTGCAGCAGTTGCCAAGGGAATAGGGTAATGCCTTACAGAGGGCTAGCTGGGAACAGTAAGACTTACATTTGATTTTACTTTTGATTAGGACTGGAAATAACTACTGAATGACAGAAGGGCAACTCTGCTCCAGGATCCCATAACTGTATCACTCCTGGGAGCTGAGTGCAGAACGTGAGCCAGACACATCACTCCTCCAGCAGGGATCAAGAGGGAAAGTGCACAGCTGTTCATATATGTACCAAAAGAGACATGGAACCTGTCTTGCACAATGCAAACAGCACCTCTTCTTTCAAATCCATTTCAAACGCACTTGATTATGTCTATTTGCATTCAAGAGCATATGCGTTATTGGGTGTTTAATAATTTCTATTTGTTGGCAAAATTAGTCATCAGTTTCTCTATATTTATCTTTAAAAACGGAAGAGCTCAGTTTAATATACTAAAAAACCCCTGTGACCGGCAATGCCTGATCCAATCAGCAACTAGGAAACTTTTATCAACTTTTGAATACACTCATACACAGATCAGGATTCATATATACCCACGGTGACCTTTCAGCAGTCACATACACAATAACAAACACCAAGCTCTTTTGAAATAAATCTTCCCTTTTATGTCTAAGCCCATTTCAAAAGTTATATTTAAGCTGAAAACTGACACTAAGGCCTGCTTCCTGTACCTGCAGTTTCCACAAGATCTAACCTGCTCACTCACTCTCATTGTCTTTAGGGACAGGGACAGTTTGAAGGGCCACTCTCAAACACCACGCCTATGCCGACAGGACTCTGCCAGACGCTGTGAAGGGGCTTACAGATGGGGCTGGGTCATTATGTCAGAAAATAATTTCAACCTAGCTGAAGTTGTTTTGTGAGATCTTTCAGGTTTGCTGCATGCTTGCGCTTCTGAGTAGCCAGTTCATCTTTCAGTTCATCCACACGGGTCTTCAGTGCTGTAAGTTCTTTCTGCTCTGAAGCTAGCTCAGCCTGTAGTGTCTCCACCTCCAGCTTTCGCTGATCCTCCTCCTTCTGTAACTTGGCAGTCTGAAATAGGAGTTTTATTTTTAGTCATATAGAAAAAAATCCAGCCTTAACCATACTGTATGCTCAACAGCCCTAACTCTGAACCTGAGAATCATTCACATTTTACATTTATTATTTAGGCCAGACACTACTACTGCAAATGAATATGCAGCACAGTGCAATGCTGCAGTAAGACTCCTGAACTATCTCCAAAATATCTACATGATACAGTACAGAGCCATGCAGAGCTGTACAGTCCAATCATGTCACCTTCTATGATGCTCCGTCTATTAAAAATTACATTTATCTCATAGTACAAACAGGACCAGAAAACCATTTCACAGTAATAAATTTCACAGACAAATTAAAACCTTTTGATCATTTCAATGACAGCTGCACAGAGAACAACTCTGTGCTCCCAGAAAGAGTAACATCCCCTCACTGTAGTACAATGTGCCTCAGGAATTCTTTTCCCTTAGGAACATGAGATGTTCGTATCTCATTGCTATTTTTATTATCAAATTGTCAAACTCCACAAGAAATTGGAGTCAGGTAAGTGAAGACACAAGGTGGAAGTCACCTACCACAACCCTACCAGCATCAGACATCTTACTAGTGCAAAAACCAAGCTGCACACTGTACTCACCAGATCATCTTTATTCTGCTGAACACATTCCAGCTGATTCTGCAGCTCTCTTTCGCTGTAAGAAAGCTTATCCAACTGGCTCTGCAAGGAATTGTTTTCAGACTGAAGCTGTGCATTCTTACTGGTTAATTTTTCAGTGAATATCAATAGCTCAGATTCTCTTTTCCGACTACCTTCAATGTCCTTCTGGAGATCAGCAATCAGAGAATTGAAACCATCAACTTCTTCCTTTAAAGCACTGATTTCTTGTTCATCTCTGTCAAAACAATTGTATCTTATTAGAGATAAGCTGAGCTTAAAGATATGAAACTTTCCTGAAATAAAAACATTCAGGTCAAGACCAAATAAGGCAGAGGAATGAATTATGACCCTGGGGCATCTATTAGTCATTCGATCACTTTAAATGTCAAGGGAGTTTGCAGATTTCATTTCATGTCACGTTGCAGTGCTGCAGTGATGTATCCCTTGTCTTCTGCATCCCACAGGAGAACATGCAGTCTTCGGCTTCCTCAGGGAAGACAACCTCTCTGTATTCAACTTGACGAGCTTCAGTGCAGGGTAAAAACAAACCCTTCAAAAACAGATCAGCATTGATTTTTTTTCAGCCTGCAAAGTCTCACCTCTAGCTCCCATTTAAAAATCTATGTCAGAAGGCTATGCTTAAACTTTACATTTCAAAAGTTGTTTCATTGTGATAGGAGAACAGTCAGGCTTGAACCAGACAAACATAAGTGTTTAGACCATTCTAAAAGAGGTCTTTAGCTTATTCTTGAAATTCTCCAATGAAGGAGACAAAAACTAAGTTCTTCTCAGCATTCAACCTGAAATCATCTTTCTTGCACAACTATTTTTCCTCCAGTGAACAGGGATAGCTGAAGATTCCCTTTGTAACAGCCTTTTATACATCTGAGGACATCTTCCTTCTGTCTTATTTGCCCTAGGCTAAAGAAACCTGTCTCATCTATTCTTTTCTCATGAAGAAAACAGGTAAGGCTTTGGGTGAACTAAAATAAAATTCCTTCCATTTGCTTCCAAAAAAATGAAAGGCAGCAAGTTTATTTATTCTAAACAAAACAGGAAAAACAGAGGTCGAGATTCCAGGATTTTCTTTCACAGATGATAAAACTTGATCCAGTAAATTCCCATTAAGTGCCTATGGTTCAGACTCCACACCTTTATCAAACATTCGAACAAGTACTGGAAACATGTTAGAGTCATTCTAATAGACATATAAACCACAGTATGAAACTAGGTCAGGATAATAAGTATTGTGTGGGAAGGATACTTAAAAATAAATATCCAAATTGAATGGGAATGAGACACATATTTCAGCATGCCTCAATTACTGAGAGGAAAAGATAACTAGAAAAATACATTTGTAGTTTCACAGCATGATCACAGTTATTTTAATTGGTTTGGCAAGATCCCAAGTGAAAAATAACCATTATTGATCCAAGAGTAAGCTTCAGCTGTCTCTGACATATTGCAGTTTCCCTGGAAAGGCTGATGACAGGGTGCCAAGACAGCTGACCAGCTAATGGAAAATGCTTCATTCTCTAAACCCTGAGGAAGTCACATAATCACTGACATATTTTTCAGTCGTAAATAAAAACTGTTTGTAAGCACAGGAGGGACATAGGGGTGTTTCTGCTTATCTAACATTCCTCTACCTCCTTTTATACAAGACCATTAGCATCAGTGAAGTGGGCAGCATTTGTATATTCTACTCCATATATCCCATATAGAAACATGACTACACTGAGACACTCCTGAAGTGACCATGACTGTCCACAATACTTTGAGATTTCCCTCACATTCTTAATTTAGCAAACTTTGACACAGCAGAGTGAATTCCAGTCCATTAAAAACACAAGTGCTCCCTACTATCTGAATACAGCATCTCTCAGACAGATAAAGTTCATTTGTTAAATACTTGCATTTATCCAACACAATTTTGAAGCAATCTTTCTTTCCAGTTTAGTTGCTTTTTCTCAGTCTTTCAATAAAATGAGCACTTGGCAGGTATCTAGAATACGTTACTTCCTATAGAGTATGCTGGAAAGCAAGCACTTATTAGAAAATAATGCAAGATGTTGAATTATATTTATCAGTCTGAATTCCTCCATACTACCAGAGGCCACCAAAGTTATCTCAAGTACGAGCAGTATTGATTTAGATTAGAAAAACACTTAAAATAGGACAGAGACTTTCCAAATTACAGTACATTTTAAAGCTTCAATAATTTCAATTAAGAAACACTTTTCACAGCCCAGATAATCTTTTGAATTATTCCTCAAAGTGCATAGCTGTACCTCTGATGTTGATCTTGCAGACGATCTACAGTTTTGACTTTGTCCAGCAAATTCTGAATTTCAGTTTTCTGTCTATTAATGATTTCTTTATACTTGGATAACTCATCTTCTGTTCTTAAACGCTCATCCTCTAGACACTTTACCTAAATAGAAAAAAAATAAATCATAAACTATTTATTCTCTCAAACTTCAGAGCTAAATTATTATGATCAAATGTCTAGATTGTTGTACTAAGATCCTGTGTTATTTTTTGGTGGTTCCAAGCAGCTTAGAACAATATGCCTAATATTTCAGATCAGCCAGAAAAAAAAAAAAAAGATTAAAAAAAAGGGAAAAAAAAATCAAACTAGTATGATTAACGATAGTTTTGTCCAAAGACTCAAATTTATCAGCCTAATGGACTAGGATCAAAAGACATCATCCTTCCCCAGTCACCAAGCCAACCCTTGTTACAACCTCCTCCCTTTTTCCAAGTGCCTACTGACCTAAATCCATAATCCCTAGAGTGTTCTGAAGTTAGGGACAGCATATACTCCCTACCAGAGGTCACTTGCATAAGCTCTACAAAACTAGCTTCACAGCTTGGAAAAGCTAACGAGTATTTTCCATTTTTCAAAGTTACTAAATTTACGAGATGTTACTCAGGTTTCTCACAACTTTTCAGTCAAATGAGGTGTGTATCATGAAAAAAAACATTGTTGTACCATGGATCTACGGATACTTCCTGAGAAAGGCTACCCAGAGTCAACAGTTACAAAACCCTTCTAGTCTCATGCCAGCCAGTCTCTAGTCACAGTTTATTCCAGAAGAAGTAAAAATACAATTAGCAGACTGAACATAGTCTTGTTCCAAAACCCCCCACTACGCCTTCAGCCCCACTGCAATCCAACACAGCACACATTACCTTTGTTCTCAGTGTTCGAAGCTCATCCATGCCTTCTTTAAATGTTCTCTTCAGGTCTTCCAGTTCTTTTATTTTTGCATGATGCACCTGTTTAAAGAGTGAGAATCCACTTGAGAAATCTAAATGGACAGTGTTGTCTCCTGGGATGTCAAAAAAATCTAGTCCAATGCAGGGCACCACAACAGCTGAGAGGGCCTGGACAGAACAGGTACCCTAAAGGTGTGTTTTACTTATTCAGAAAGCAAAGCCAAGCCCAAAAGCTCCTTTATTCTCATAAGAACTGAGAACAGAATGAGATTACATACTCTGGTTTTAGATGTACAAATCTATGCCACAACAGCCCACAGGAAAAGTTCTAGGCAAACTGACAGTTAACTCTGAAGGCAACATACGCACGTACGAGCTGTGAGCAAGTATTACGTCATTACAGAATTTAGCTTTTTGGCTAGCAAATCTCTTCACAGAACAGAGGATGTTCTGTCTCTCCTTGCCATATAACTTAGCAAAATACTGCTCAGAGAAAGGCCTGCCTATCATCTGGATTTGTGCTCTAAATTACAGCAACACGCATGTTTATAAATGAAAGGGCAGTTATTTAGTGCTCATTCTAGCATGTGTTTCCCATAATTTTGTTTTTAAAAAGTTAATTCAAGGTAACAACTAAAAACATCTTCCAAAAAGCAGGGCTGGAGACAGACACCTGGGATGTACCACTAGGCCAAAGAGAAAAATGTTTGGCAAAAATTGTAAGCAGCTTAAAGAAAGACTCTCAAAGTTAAAAACTCATGGTATAAACTATGAAGTTGCCAACTGTGTTGTCTCCACATATCACATATTTACCTCCAGGTGACCAGACTTCTCCTGAATTTGTTTTTCTAGTTCTCCTTTAGTTAGTCGTAGTTTTGCATCCAACTCATTTGATTTAATTTCTTCTGACTCCTAAAAGGAAGGAAGAAATATAAGTAAAGTTTGAGAGTTTTATGCTCTCCTTTCTAGTCTTATGAGCACATAGACAGCTTTTCACATCACTGAGTCCTTTCTGTAGGTACCTAACTAATAAATCTGAACATGGCAAGACAGACCTGCACACTGCATGCCAATCAAAACAAACACTTTCCCTTTTATTTAGCTTTCCAAAGAAAGAAACCAGTGACTAGTCATCACAGCTCTGTAGCTCTCACAGGATAATTCCTCCCTGCTACACCTTCAGATAGAAAGGGAGGAAAAGGAAGACTCAGGTGCTAAACACTAATTTCACTCTTGTAAGAATATGTGCCTACTTGGTAAGATTTTATCATTTCTTGACAGTTTTTCCGTATCTGGTCTCCCTCTTCTTTTGCTTCAGTTAATTTTGCCATTGCATCTTTGAGGCGTTCTTTGGTTTCCTACAGAAAGAGTAATAAATCTTGGGTTAAACTTATTTATCTAACAATCTGGGAAAAGAATTTCTCATAATAAAAGTTTCCCATTTCAGTTTGGAAAGAATTAACAACAACAAAATGTTCAGCACTGTTTTCCTCTTGTTTCCATTCAACTATTTATGCAATTTCGTTTGTTCCAGCACTGAAAGCACAACAAAAGGATCTCTTGGTTATGTGCCATGAGCATTTTCAGATCATAAATTTAACTCCATCATGTAAAAACTAAACTAATACAACAGTTAATTCACACCAGAAAAAAAAAAAGATAATCCCCAAATTAAACAGAATACTGTCATACATCCTCCCCTCATATCCTTTCAACTTTTCCATGTCGGTACTGGTATCTTTATGAACATTATTCTGACTTTTTCTGCAGGTATTTAAATTAAGAAAGAAAACTTTATAAATAGATTTTTATATAATACAAAAAAAATACAGTGTAGCAACTACATTCTTTGACTATATTTTCATGACATGGTATCAGTAGTGCTTCACTAACCTTGTGTGAATCCATTTCTGTTTTCAGTTTGTTCTGAGCCCATTTTACTTTGATAACATGAGAATTGATTTCTTCTTTCAACTTTTCTATTTCTTTGTTGAGTCGAGTGGCTTCACCATCCTAAAAAGATCACACAGATTTTGTAGTATGGACTTAAATCATCCAATGCTTCTACAACAAGACTCCTGCTCACGTGTCAAATGCAGGGTTGTTTGTTTGTTTTTGTTTTGTTTGTTTGTTTGTTTGTTTGTTTTATCTTAAATGTCTGAAGTTTGTGCATACTTGAGTGCCTGATACTGCTTTAGCCCATAATACAGTGAAAAAACTGATTAGTGTTCTGGTTTGAACTGCAGCAAGGTAAGGCTGCATTACTGTCAGTATACATTAATGTTACGTATCTGCTAAAAGACAAAGCACAGTCTCAAGTTCTGATTTACAATCAGTATCTCATGTGTAAGCTGTGTAAGCTACACAGTCCTCTTTTTGGTGTTTTTTTTGTTTGTTTGTTTTTGTTTTTTTTTTTGGCAAAAGGATGAGGAAACATAGGTTCAAAATGGTAGGATCATATATTATACAGGGGTACAAACCAAAATTGTGACATTGAAACGGTATTACTAATTATTCAGGTGCAGACTAGTGTGAGCACCAACAGCAAAATGTATGCAAGTCAAATCACTAACCTGTGCCAAGAAGAGATGTTAACAGAAACACTTTGGCATAATCTTCTACACCAGTATCCACAAACCACTGCACTAAACCAAACTTCCAAACTGCTTCTGAACTCATAGGCTTATCTTACCAAAAAAGTTTAAAGCAGCACCATATGAGGGCAGTACAGTTCCTGTAAGGCTCTAGTGCAACCCTCAGGAGTTATGAGGATAAATAGTATGGTGTTTTGTTTAGGAAACCTGAAGTCATGCTCCCACTTCCTGTTCATGTGAGAGAGGACATCAAGGTTATTTTTTTTTTGTTTCAGAAGCATAATTTTTAGGACTTTTATTAAGATGTATTTTTCAGATCCCTATGGGCATAGTACAATTGCTCAGAAGAGGCCCAAATCAAAGCTTGGACCCTATCAGTGTATCATTTTTTGGATCTTTCACATGAAATAGAATTGTGAAGCACAGCTATGAAGCACAATACAAAAAGACATGGATAATTTAAGAGGCTAATGGGAATCTCTTACTGACTTCTAAAAAAGTGGCAAATTTTTGGAGTTGGGCCTGAAATTTGCTTTATCACTACATTTTAGTAGTACAAAAGAGAAAACAGCATGAAAACAGAAAAAGTAACAAAAGACTGAAATAATTTAATGACATTACAGTCTTTTAAAAAGGAAATTCAAACATGCTAGAAATTCCCTCAAAATTCAGTCTCGGCAACAAGCAGTCTTTTCAACTTTGTCAAAAAAAAAAAAAAACCTGATGTTCACAAACTAACATTTAGGGAAATATTAAAAGAAACTTCCAAAAGATGACAATGAGACCTCAGTAACTTCTTCCCCTGCCCTTGGAGGAAAGGGACTTTCACAGCTCTACAGTGACCGAATACATGTTTGCTTCACCAAGTGCAACAGCAAACAAGTGATAAGGTTATTCTGATAGTGCTTTTAATCACTTTCTCAAGTCATACAGCAATACTGAGAGTACCTTAGTTTCATAAAGCTGGTGCAATCTTCCTTTTTCCTGAGAAAGTTGTTTGATTTTGTTAGTATGCTTTTCTATTTCTTTGTTTGCATCTCTCACTCTTCTCTCAAGTATCTCCTTTTCCTTTCGGAGGTCGAGTGACTCCTTCTCCCCTCGGACGTACTTCATCACCATTGTTTCCTTTTCATGTCGTGCTTCCTCACATTTTTTGTTTGCCTGGAAAAACATTGAAAAAGAATGAATCAATCTTGTATTTCATACTGTATCTTTATAAGGCACTACTGGACATTTCCAGTATTGCATTACAGTAACAGAGTAAGACTCAAAAGCTCCAGTTTTGCAAAGACTAGCATTAGACCTCACTTCAGCACTAGAATTAGTCATAGTTCTACCACTAAATACATATCTGGACATCTTCAGCTTCACAGCTAAACATCTCAAGTGAGTTATCAATACATTAGTAACTTGGAATATAATTCGTTGTTTCAGAAAAAGAGAGTTTGGAAGTTTTAGTAACAAAATTTTGCAGACCCCCAGTACCAGTCCTCTGTTGTCCATCAGCCACATGCCAACTGCACAATCACTATCCAGTGGCTGATTTTTACAGATTACCCCCACCACAGCAATAACTAATTCTGCTTCAAATAGAAACCAAAGAATCAGACACTGAGTTTTAGAATTCATATAACAGAGAAAATACTTGGCATAATACAATACTAAGAAGGAAAAAAAAAAATTCTCAATAATACATGAGACAAAGTAAGAGCTTTGTGCCAAAGTTGAGAAAAATATTACTTTTGTGATAGCTTGTCTAAAAAAAAGCCACTGCCAAGTTTTACCTCCTTTTGAACCAAGCTCAGCTTACAGGCAAGGAAAAAGATTTCCTTGAGGGCTGAATTCCATATGTATAAACATACACATTGAAAACAGTTATCAGGCACTCTAGAATGTTAACAGCTATTTACAAATTCACTGATGCCAGTTACAAAAATGCATATAACTGCACACTAACAGTTCAAATTTTGGATAATTTTGCCCTACCCAGTGATCTAACAACTGAGGTTACACTTTTCCTACAAGAACAAAGTTTATTCATAAGATGTTCAATAATTAGAGTTTTTCCACATTACCTGTTCCATTCGAAATGCCATCTCTTTATGCAACTGCTGAATAGCATTTTTGGCTGCTGCATCTTGAGTTAAAAGTCTGTCTTTACTAGCTTTTACTTCTTTATTAAGCTCTTCCATTCTTGCTTCCAGCTAAAATAAAACATTATGATATAATTATAGGACAAATAAGACTTTGATCATGTTTTGTACAGGCAGGAACACCTCACACTAAATTAGCTGCTGCAACAAGTATTTACCTGCATTTCACACTTGTCAAGCTGCAACTATCCATATCAACATCTAGCTTTGCATTACAGTACAAGCATGAAAGATCTGTGTCAATTCTCATCTTCAGTGAGACTGAAGAGGCATCAAGAAAACATGAGGCACAGTAATTTTCTATGCAAAAAGTTAGATTGACAGAAATGCTGAGATGCCAGAGCAGAGCTGGCTGCTCTCTGAAGTTACTCCACCTTCTGTCTTTTTGTTGCTATCCCTGTGCCATATGCTCCACCATGCCAGCAAAGCAGTCAAGCATCCATACTGAACTGGACTGGGACTCAGTTCACTGAAAAATAACTCTGCAAATACAGAGTCACTGTGCTGGCACTTTTTAGCTGCCTGGTGAACCAAGTCGCAGACCTGATCCAGCTGAAGAATAATTACCAACGTCCAACTGGAATGCTTCCCAGAGCATGTGTGCACTGCACAGCCAGGCAAGCCCAGGACAAGAAGCAGCAGCAGCAGCACAAGAGCAAGTGGTGGCTACATAAGCTGTAACGCTGCCCAAAGGTTCTTCAAACAGTGCCTCAGTGACTATCCTCTTCTTCCAGGGGAAAGCCAATCACCACTGTTAAGGTTTGGTTTGGTTGGGAGGGGTGGAGGAGGCATAAAAAAAGTCTCAAGGTCAGTATCTTACATTATTGGACAATTCCAAACTGCTACATAAAAGGGAAGTACAACCTAAAACGCTTCTGTAACCACAAATGAACTGATCACACTCTGTTCTGCTCTTCAAATGAATCACTGCCCATACAAAAAAAAGTTATACACATACAAGAATGCCTGTACAGTTTGCTTGCTTTTGTGAGTGCAGCCAAGCTTCCATTTACTTGAAAGCTACCAGAAAACACTAATTCAGGAATTGTAACAATAAACTGCTCGCATTACAAGTGAAAAAACTGTTTCACTGCTATATACCTTACAGCTCCAGGTGCTGTCCAACTACAGTAAGTACTGCACTCCAAACTAGTATTTTCTGAAATCACTTGCATGTAATATCAGATTTTACTTATCTGACCACAATTAAAAAAAAAAAAAACAAACCAAAACAAAAACCCTCGAACTCCATAATATTTTTGTTTTCCTCAGAATGGTATAAAGCGATGGTTGCATATTACACCCTCAAGAAGTCATACATTGCTATGAGAAAGAGAAAACACAGACAAAGTAAGCTGCTTCACACTTACTTAGGCACATGCAATTCCATTTTGTGGCTTAAAGCAAGACTTTTCAATTCAATTTTCAATCACATTATGGATTTTCAGAGATTTCTGAACTAAGCAAAGACAGACTAAGGTTCTACACAGGTGAGTACCTCCCTCTGGAACACAAGCCCAACATGCTGCTCTGAGAACAGATTTCTGTGTGATGCAGACACCGACAGAGAAACCTGACAACTACAGCACTACTTTGACAAACAGAAATTAGTATTTTAAATGCTATCTCTAGCAAGATTTCTAAAATGTTATCTGTAATCAGTTTATAAAGCTGCCCAACCACCTGTAGGAACATCAGGCAACAGCTCTGTAACAGGCAAGCAGTGACACTGGAGGTGCCACCTTTTCTTCTCATACTGAAAGCAGCCTAGACTCAAGCACACTTCTACTAGCAGATGCAGTAGTAGACAGAAGATAAAGATGACAAATTAAGATTTCCTTTATGTCTAACATACATTAAATAATCCTATCAGGATAAAAGACTGAACGTGTCATTTTTTTAAAAAAGATCTAACAAGCCTTCAACAGATGTTGTCTCCAGCAGGAAGCCAAGGTACACAAAGCCCCCCTACCAGGGCAACCCACGAAACAAGAACTCTTTTGACTTGAAGAGCGACCTCCAGATACAGAACACTGAAGTGATGTGAGTCTAAAAAGTCAGTTTACCCAAAGACACTAAAAGCTTTTAGCCAATGCTTCTCTCTTGGAATGGAAGAGCAGATTTATCCTCTTAAAAAGCTTAGGATAATAAGCACAGGCATTCCTTCCTCCTCTAGGCTACCAAGGATGTCTTGTTAAACAGTGGCAGGCGGCCTTGTATGCAGGTGAGATACTAACCAGCACTTCTGTTTTGCTACTGGTACCTGTTTAATGATGTTGAGGTGCTGCTTCTCTGTTTCTGTTCGTTTTTTCAATTCATCTTTTAAGTTGTCCTTTTCTGAGCATATTTCCAAAATTAGTTCCTGATGTTTTTTATTTTCTTTAATCAAACTGTAAAGAAAAAAAAAACCACAACAACTTATAAACAAGATATGTCAGTACTGGGGCTTTTTTTTGTTTTAATATTGAAACACATGGGTTTTGCTCTTTGATCTGCAAATTTTATTGGGAATTGCAGCCAGAAACACTAATGAAATCTACAAAAGACTTACAAAACCAAAACAGAATTAGGTTGTGCGTGTGAAATTTAACTCCAAATCAGCAAGCAGCATCTTCCTTGTGAGGAAATTGCCTGTTTCCAGCATTTTGGTGTTATCATGGTCGATGATGACATGAGACATTTGGTACCTGCATGCAACTACAGAGCTGTAAACATTAATCATTTTAAGGTAATTGTAAGACAAAAACTTCCAGTCAGAAAGCTCTGACAATCAAATGTCTGAAGACACAGAGATTGTATTCATTTCATGGATTGCTCCGAGTAGCCCATGAAGTGGTAAGAACTTGATAAGAAATGGCACTCAGTTTTTAAGACCTAAGTAGATATGTAACTACAACAGTGTCCATGCTCATACTCCTTATAAAGTTCAAATTTTTAGAACAGTTTGTTCCTTTGCAGATCAGCTGTTTGAAGGCTGTGTTGAAGCTGACACATAATTAGTTTGACCTTCTAACACTGCAACAGAAGATAGTTATCCACAAAACTCAGAAGTTACATTGTCAGAATTGCTGAATAAAGAAGAGTCTCAAATTTATTTAAATTTTTAAAGATACAGTTAGATAATGCATATTTTAGGCCACTAACACCATTAATTTGTGGGAGGCATGCATTTACCTGAACAAGGTATTTCCATATCCCTTACACATACATTTTCACATTTAGCTCCTCTCTAAACAAACTAGTCTCCTAAATTATGAGGAATTAAAAACCGTCAGTGAAAGAAAGCTCAGCACTTCTGATCTGTTTTTCAATGTATTAATGAATAATCCAGGATTACAAATTCTTTTAATTCACAAAATTACTGCCCACCTGTATATCTTAAACCTGGTCACAGGAGACAACTGGGTCATTTCCACAGCAATGTTACAAGAAATTCTGCTGATCATAAACTAAAGGACAAAAATCAACCCAGCCCAGAATGCCCTTTGGACCAAACAAAATGTTCCACAGCAGTTTTACACTCTTGAGGTGAGTCCCCAAGAGTCAAAGGGGTGCAGCTGGGATAGCAGCTGGCAAAAAAAAAAAAAAAAGATACCAAAGACATGTTTATATAAAAAGCTTTCCGTATGTATACATAACATGTTATATATTTATATAATTACTTTCTTAGAGACAAATGTTTAATTGGTCCATGGCCAAAAGCACTGACCTGCCTTTGAGTTTACCATAAACAAGTGAAAAACAAATAACTTGTTAGCTTATGATCTCCTGGAATTACAACCATTTACACACCCACCACTTCAGATCCCCACTCCTCCTCACCCTCCATAATTACTAAAGGTCTAACTAAGCACTCCCAAGCTTTCCTGTCATCAACTGACTTTCCTCACATTTATGATTTCTGTCAGAGGTTAACTTGTGAGGTGTAAGAGGACACCTTCCCTACTGAGCATCTCTCCCTCTGCCTGGTTTCCCTCCCTTTCATGTTCTCCCATACCATGGGACCATGGTACTGAAGTGCCATATACAAGGAGCAGGACATTCATTTCCAGCTCTGCAAGCAGGAATAAATTTGAATTTAAGTGGTTACATTTTATTAGCAAAAAACATTTATAAATGAGTAACAAAATACGAAACACCAAGGGGGAATCAAGAAATCAAGCAGCAAACTAGCTTGTGACAAATATAAATATTCTTCACATAGTAGAACTGGTAGAATTATTAAACCCAGTTTATTATAGCAAAGTTCACAAGCCACGTGTTTCAAAAGTCCTCCAAGAAAATGTAGGAAGACATTAGTTTATCTATATATGAAATTTCCAAATCAAAGAATAGCTTTCAACTCAGCAACTTTGCTGGATTATGATGGGAGACTGAATAACTACTTGAAAAAGAAACAACTTCAAACTCATAAATAAAACGCACACTGAGGGAGTTAGTAATTACAAAGATTCCTTTCTCCAAAGACATCTAAGGACTGTGTGAATCCTGCAGTTTTTATATCACCATTACTTGTAGAGCATTTAAATAATCCTAGACATTGGCAGACTATTCAACTGAACAGTTGGCTATTCGTTTCCTGCCAAATTCCACAAGAATTCAGAGATCAAAGCACACATTTTTGTTTACAAGTACATACCACAAGTAAATAATTCCTCACTTAAAGAACATAATTTAAAAAGCTCATTAACTGTCCTTCTGACAACTCACAAGAGACCACTTGTTTGGTACAAAAATGCTGCACACGCTTGCACACAATATGCAACTGAAACTGTTCAGCACACACCTCCAACTGTGACGAGCACGCTCAAATACTCACTTCTTTATAGTTTGTTCTTGCTCCAGGTATTTATCTTGCACACATTTTTCAAACACAGCCAAGGCATGTTCACCCTTCCGCACACCATTGGGGACTTTTCGTTCCTTTGAAAAATCTGTAGATAAGAGTTCAGACTCTATTTCCTTTAGCAAATCCTCCTGTGAGGAAGTCTGATGTATTGTGGAAATAAGCTTCTTTGTGCAGTCTGTGTCATAAGGGCTTTCTGAGTAGATTTTATCCCTCGATTTTTGCACAAAGTCAGACTCCTCCCTTAGTTCCTGTAATATTTCCATTAATGATTGTTCTGTCTGATTGGGTTTTGGATCTTGTAGTTTAAAATCTTCATTAGACAAATGTTCTGGTTTTGTGGAGTTTTCTACTTTTGTTTCAGAGCAAGTATTGGCAGAGCACTCTGCCTCTCCACACTGCTGCTCCTGTCTTTCTGCCAGGGCCTCATTGCTGCTTATGCCAATAGCTGCTGAATCCTGGTCCGAGGGTAACAACCTGGATTCTCTTTCCAAGGCACCAGTATCATCTCCAGTATGACTGATGCTTGAGCAATCCTCCATTCCAGATGTTTTATCAGTCTTCTCGTTATCTGGAGACCTGGAAGAAGTGTCATCTGACAGATGGACTGGCTCCAGCATGCTCTGCATTTCTGGTAAATATTCCTCCATCATTTCCCGTTGGAAATCTGTAAGTAGAATTCATATTGCACAATATATTATATTCAAAATCAAAATGAAAACACACTGAACGAGGAGAAAGAAAGGCTACCAGAAAGTAAAATTCAAAGAGTAAAAATATTTAGATACGTGTCATGCAGAGCCTGTTGATCTTCCAGCCTGACTTAAGTCAATGGTCAAACAGAAGTGTTTCTAAAAGGTGGTGAGAAATCAAGGACAGCAAACAGGAAGAACTGGCATAGTAAATGCCATGACAATAAAAACAACCAGAGCTTTTTTGAATTAGTAATTCTACCATTTAAATCCACAAAATTCCAAGTAATCACCTCCGAAAAACACTTCAGACATAAAATAATGAAAAAATTATCTAAAAATCTAAAGCCTTATAGCTTTCATTTTCCTTTAGATCATTTGAAAGCAATAATACGTCTTGACTTACTCATCTTTACTACATAAGGTTACTCCCTCATGCAGCCAGAATATTCAGCTTCCCTACTGTCACATCCTCACTCAGCACCCATACAGCAAAAGGCACCTGTATCGAGCAGCCTGAACGAAGGGGCTGGGGGAAGATGGGCCCGAAGTTCTCTTTTCCCATCTGCTTTCAAGCAGCCAAAGTCCCTTGCTAGAAGAGCACAGATGGTCTGCAGCAGATCTGCACTCTCAAAAAGTAGCTTGCAGAGCAAACATTTGAGGAGTTGAGAAGCTATGTAGAGAGTGCTCAACTAAAAAGATACCATATTGAGATCCAAATAGCCAGAACACTTATGGAAGAGCCTGGGTAGAATGCTGTATCTTCTTTTACAGGAATCCCAGATGGTCAGGTGTCTGGAAAGATTGCTGGCATTTTTAGCAAGCATAAGAAGCCCTTGTATCATTTCCATAAGGAGAAATTAATTCCAGCAGTCGTAACTTTAAGATGCAACCCTATTCCCCTATACTGGGTAAACTAAAACTATTTAAAAACAAGGCAAATTTTTCATTTACAAATTCAGCTCTGCTATTCCAATAACTATCTCATAGGAGGCATTAGCCTTGACATCTTACATCAAGCCTGTTTCCACACTTGCTTTCTCATTTGTTTAGGTTTCTCAGAGTCACACAGTCCGAGTCATTCAGCTCCATGCTCCAGGTCCTGCACTCCACCTGGGACTGGAAGGAACAAACCCCTTGTGCTGCGTGGCCCCACTCCGCCAGAGCCCTGCCTCCTTAACCAACGCTAAGGACCCAGCCGCTGTGGAAACCGAGGGCAAAGCGAATCCATTAGGGGTGTGACTAATTGCTGCCGCTATCACCTTTCAGTACGAGGTACAACAATCACATAAGAGGCAAAAAAAAGCAGCAGCCTCAGCCCAGCTGTTTCTACCAGGAAATATCACCAAATGAAAAACCTACCACTAGTACCTGAAACCAACAGCTCAGCTACAGCTGCCAGTTCATCAGGAGGAGAGCAGAAGGAAAACAGCAGAGGGCTGAGAGCATGACAGGGAGCGTGCCACAACGGGACAACAGTCACAAATCCAATGACAATTACACATTGCTAAGTAACAAGCAAACTACTTTACTTTTTTGGTTTCAAAGCAGAAAACCTCAATGCTACAGCTCCCAAACCAGTACAAATCAATTGGAACCAGAAAGAAAAGCTACAAATGAGAACAGGGATAGTGAATATGTTCACATATCACGCGGAAACTTTACAAGGACTCCCCATTTTACAAACAGACCTTCTCTGATGCTAATAAAATCCCCGATTCCCCTTTGTTTCAAAGGATTTACACTCAGGGCGACACCGGAGCAAATAAATCCAATCACTTGGTTTGTGCAGCCAAGACAACTGCTCTTAGTATCTACTTTCTGATAACTTCTGCTAGTAACAAATGTTCACAATGTGCCATTGTTATTCTAAAATAAAACAGACAAAAGAAACAACCCTCACTGACGATCTCAATCTGAAAGCAAAGAGAATTAACACAACTGCAAGAAAAATAATTCAGATTGATAGTAGCAGAACACAGTAGTTGCTACTTAATTAAAAAGCTGCTAAAAAACAAACCACAACATTTTGAGACTGGTGCATTTAATACAGTCAATAACATTAAGACAAACCGCAAATGATGCAGTTAAGGAAGAAAAATTCACCTTCTAGTATGTTTCCTCCTGTCACAGGTAGCTTAAAATCCACACTTAGCTGTAGAAAGATTGTGTTAGTATAAAGCTGAAGTACATTTTTTTCTATAGCAGTTACTCTAGTCTAAGTTCTTGCTGACAGTCTCTCTGGAACGATCAGAGAGGGTTTTTTGGCTCATTTTGTTCTAAAGTACTTTCTAAAGCATTTTAAAACCCCTCAAATGTGCAGTTTTTTCAGGTATTACTACCTCAAGACTGCCCATAGCTGCTCAGTTGCTGCAGTTCACCACTCTCACAAGAAAAGAAGTGGTAAAATCAGGTATCTGAACTTCCATGTTGGGTACCATCCCTAAAATCTCCAGTCCAGTCAGCAAAAGGGATGGTATTTATCTCTATATGAAAGAGGCATGTGAAAAATATAGCTCTGTTAAGGCAGAACATTGGGAAGGATATTAAGTTGTCACCTTATTGTGTCACCTATGTAAATACTACTGTGAATTACTATTAGAAAAAAAAGATTAATCTATGTGGAAGTAGAAATACGGTTATTTGCATAAATCAGTAGCAGAGTAATAAAATGCAAACAATTCCATATCCATAACACCTTACACTTAATAGCAAACATAAATAAAGCATAGGGGTTTGTATCAAATGCATCGGGAATTTGAATAGTGACTATACAAATCAGTTAAAGCATTAAAAATTATGATGGTTCAGTGTTCCCTGCAGGCTTGTTCTAATTTTCAGTGGTACCCAGAATATAATTTACCACAGTAAGAATGTTGAAAGCCTTTCCATTTCCAACACGCTGGGTTTTAGACCAGCCCAAATCTACCTGAATCTGTTCAGAACCTAAGCAGGTGAGTACTTTCCCCTTACTGCCACCATATAGTATTTTTCAAGTTGTAATTACTAACTTTTAAACAGAAATAAAACTTGACAATTTGTCATAGGATCGCAATTTATCTTCACATCAGATATCATATATCTGATATATCACATATCAGGCAAAGAAATCATGTGGAGCAACTGTCGATGCAAGTTCCTCAAACCTCTCTTGAAGACCCAAAGTTTGTTATGCCCACCACAAGCAATTGAACACAGTAGATACATCCCTTACAAGGCCAGAGGCAGAAAACTGCAGTAATGATACTAAAGCAAAGCTCCTGCTTTGTAAGCAGAAGGGTTTGTATCGAAGTAACTTAAAATGATCAACACTGCCAGCCTAGCAGTAGCTAGTGGAAATGAACTGTTTCCCATCAAGCATACAAATACAACAAGACCCAGATAATATCCAGACACCAGACATATATTTGATAGCAGCTCCACATCTTTCCATGTTTCATATCCAGCTTCTACTATCCTACCCATACTTACAAGTGACTCTTCCAAAATCAGGGAAGTAATAAGGTTATGGCATCATTTTTACAAAATACTGCATTAAGAAAATAAAATAACTTAGTGCCTGTTATGATATCTTCACAAGATGTCAAAAGCAATCAAAAAGGGCAAATCCTGACTCGAGCAGATCAACAGTTGTATGTAACGTTATCTTGTTTCTGCATGAGACGAGCAAATCATGGTAGGTCAGTTTACAGAGGGGAGAGTGTGGCCAACCTTCTCCTGCTGCTTTGCTAAGCTTCTGCCTTCAGCAACTTGCTCTGCTCCTTCCTCAGGGCTGATGATCTGAACAGTACGGCACAAGTGTCCTGCTCCTCCGCCCCCTCCACGTGACGTTTGTCTCACTCTCACAGTGTACATCCCTTCTGCTGCTTAGGCCACAGGAGAATGTAATCACTACTGAGTCAACTTAAAACGCCCAGGGTAAGAACTTCTCAAATTAGCACTCTGAGATTAGCCCAGCCCAAGCCTGCCCACCTGCATACCTGTGAGACTGCCACACATCTAGGTTGGCATGTGGAAAGCTTTCTGTCACTGGCTCATAGCACTTTCTGCTGCTGTGACAGGACTCTCAGCACTCGTGCAACCGGTCTGGCCAGCTCTCCTCCTTCTCACAAGTAGTTGGACACCCCAGCACACCTCCCCCACGCTCCCACCCCTGCTCTGAAGCTAAGGAGACAGTTGCCCATGTCTCCCCACAATGCAGTAATACAAAGCAAAGCAAGTGAAAACACATCAACTCAAAACCTGGTGATGTGAACAGCAGAGAATGAGGAACACGAGCACAGCTCAGTGGAGCTTCCTCGACAGCAATAACTGGCCCACAGGCCCCTCTGCACAGCCAAAACACCTCCCTGCAGTTACACAGCAGAATACAGACAACTTGTACCCTTCAAAAATAAAACTTGATTTGGTGTTTGGCTTGGGTTTTGGTTTTTTTTTTGGTGTGTGTGTTTTTTCTTTTTTTTTTTTTTTTAACAGACCTTCTTTCTCAGCATAGATGTGCTCTGCAAAGCAGCAAGCAGCATGCACACTTTCCCTCATTATCTTGTGCTCTTCAAACAAATGATGTATATATTACGTCAATTTTAAACATTGCACCACTACTTGGAGAAGATGAACTGCAGCCACAGGACACAGAACATTAAAGGTGAGTACTGGCAAGAGCTGCAGCCATTTCTCATCTTTACCCTACGTGAGATGTGCTGATCTGCTAAGCTGCTGATGGCACAACTGGGAGGAGAGGCGGGGAGAGGAGCGACACAGCAACTGGCCAGCACAGCAGCTTCTCAAGGCAGAAATGTCTCACAGCACGTAAGGGAAAGCAAAGTCTCAGGAAACATCATTGTCTTCATTCATTTGTTACTCAATAGAAACATTCTCTCTACTAACAGCTAATCAAATAAAAACCACAAGAACAAATGTGACAAATCATTCACTTGACATCTTCAGTGAAGTATGTGATG